TCTTTAATTAGTTCAATAATCACAATATAGATGTCTTTTTACAGCACAGTAAAAATATATTAGTTTTATAGTAATTTCTTAATCTATTTAAACTGAATGGGTAGAATTCATTTCTTTGACGTATCAAAATTCAAAATAATTGAACTGCAGTATTTTATAACATTCATCATCAAATTTTGACATTTTGGTGATTTTATAAAACCATGTTATTGACCATGTAAAGGTGGCTGATTTCTAAAAATTTTATCTGTTCCACATATTCCTTGACTGATAGCTTTTATACAGCCCTGTAATAATAATAACTGCCTTTTCCAAATAACAATGCCCTAGTAATATAAGCCATCTTACCTGGTGCCTACATAATTAGTATTCATCATTTCTAGCACTGGATACCATTCTCTCTTATTGAGATCAACACCATTAGATTTAAATTGAGAGAACAGGTCTCCCCACGTCTGTTTGGTTACCTCAACAAACTTCATTGCAGTCTGTACCATATCTCTAGTTGTGGTGAATAACATTGACAATGCTGCATCTTCATCATAGGTTATTAAACTCTCACTAACTATATCACGAATTACATGCACAGTCTCGTTAATCTATAAAGGTTTAATCAAAATATTTTAGAAAAAATCATATTTAGAGAAAATAAAAGGGAAAAAGAGGCCAAAACGTAAGGAAGGGATCAGGAGAGAATTGACTCTATCACAGAAATATTTAAGTTGGAGGTTGTGGACTGTGGAATATACTGAGAAAGACTACAAAGAACTCTGTAACAGGTGGCATCCAAGAGTGCAGTACAAGACAATAATTTTGACCCAAGAAATCAGGTTAGATGGACATACAAACAATTCCAAAATGTTTATCTATTTCCAACCAAAATAAAAGAATCTTATTCCTTTGCTACGAAAACATGATTGACAATTTGATGTATGTATTATATGATAAACAAACGTGATAATAATGTATTCTGTTGTCTCCTCTACATTCATACTTACAATTTTCTCCATCTTTTCAATCTCAAATGTTTCTAGAAATTTCTGGAAAGCAGTGGCAACATCAACATTACATAATATGGGTCTTAGTTGATTGGCTGTGTCTTGACCAACCTCTGATTGGATAGTATCAATAACACCAGTACAAATAGACAGGTATGAGAAGGAGTTCTCAAATATTTTCTACAATAAAAAACATGTGTGATGAGATGTGGATAACCTGATAGAGTTTGGGTTTTTACCTAGTTGGGTAAGAGTGGCTATTCTGAGGTTTGAGCATGCTCATCTTATCGCAACCAGACAATGTTTAGTGGAAGATGATTAGGAAAAAGAGCTCCAATGGAACTGCCTGAAGTTTTTATTGGCCTGCAGAAAAATACTTGTAAGTAAGTTGGTCACAGGAAATATGGTCACATTAATAGGGGCACAAGGTATTCTGGTCACAGTAATACGGGCACAGGGTATTCTGGTCACAGCAATACGGGCACAAGGTATTATGGTCACAGTAATACAGGCACAAGGTATTATGTTCACAGTAATATGGGTACAAGGTATTTTGGTCACAGTAATACAGACACAAAGTATTTTGGTCACAGTAATACAGGCACAAGGTATTCTGTTCACAGTAATATGGGTACAAGGTATTTTGGTCACAGTAATACAAACACAAAGTATTTTGGTCACAGTAATACAGGCACAAAGTATTTTGGTCATATTAATACAAGCACAAGGTATTTTGGACATAGTAATACAAGCACAAGGTATTTTGGCCACAGTAATAAGGGCACAAGGTAATTTGGTTATAGTCATAACAGCACAAGGTAATTCGGTCACATTAATGAGGCACAAGGTCCAGACACTGTGCCTTTAACATGGCTAACCCTATTGATACCTTACCATGGTTTTATATAAATATAACTAAAACATGTAAAACCTACAGCTATAACTTTGGAGTCTGTAAAAGCATCCAATACAGCATGTGTTACATTGGGTCCTTTAGAAATCAACTGACTTAAACTGGTAGATAGACTTCCTTCATCATCCAGAACCTCCAGCATAGCTTCTTCTAATCCTGAAACATTACAGAAATGTAAATATGACTAGGAAAACAAAAAAAACTTATTTTCTGAGTATGCTTTAACTATGATTACTTTTCTTTTATAATGCAATGGTAATTTGAGGTCTGGAAATATCATCATTTATGTAATAGGAAGTTTTTGTCAACAATATAGCATCACACATGTAACTCTCCATTCATCTGAATTCTTAAAGTTGTAGATAACAATTTCAGGAAATTCAGGGAAAGTTATTTACTCTTTGAATGTTTCTCATTTCCAGACCAATCAGTTCAAAACATACCTAATGTTTGTGTTAGTGTTATGTTGACCAGTTTCATCATCTTGTTCATCAAGGACACAGCGGGGGCTGTCATATTCCACAAGGACGTCTTTTCTAAAGTTTCTTGAAATTCATTCAGAGAGTCAGTAATATCTCTAAGAAAAGAAACAAATGATTTAAATTACAAGGAAGAAACCCACTTTCATTGAAAGAGGTAAAATAATTGACCAGAACAAAGTTATAACAATTGGCCATCCTATGATTTGCAAATAAAAAATTAGGTGATCTATGGAGTTTCAGCAGAAGCAAAACATGGAAATCAACCCTTATTTTACATAGAAAGCTGAGATTATCCTTTTCATTATGATCTCCAATAAAGACACTGCAACTATCTGCATGTTAACAAATAAACAAAAATATAGGTGTTTATCAACTGCTTACTTGTCCTGAAGTACACCATTAACAGCTTGGTTGAAAATATCTCCAATATTTAAATCTGCAATAGCCTCTATAACCATCTGAACTTCATTTGACATTCCTTTCATAGCCATTTCTAAATTTTTCAGAAATCCATTGGTGATGTTAACTAGGTCATTGCTTGTGCCATTAAATTTTCCTTCCACCATTTGTACCATTTTATCTACCATCATTACTCCTGATTTAATACTCTCCCATATTGGACAATTTGGTTTTAGTTGGTTTATGATGGGATCCAACATGGTCACCAGTTCTTTTATCCTAAAAACATCATAAAATATCATGATAAGGATCATTCTGACCATAGAAAACTGACATCATGAACAGCTTGCTAACCGAATAGGATAGCCTACTGAAATATAGTGGTATGAAACCAGTCTGTAATATTTACTGCCGATTTTTGTTAAGATAATCTGAACAATAATCAGAACATTTCAAGTTCGCAATGTTTCCAAACATAAAAAATAACCACATAAATTTTTAAAAAAAGTATAGATAATACATTTTGTGATCAATATATTTACTTACGGATCTAATCCAGCATTGCTTTCCTCCAACATTTTGGTCCATTGTGGTACCTTTCTGAGAATTCCTGACAAGTCTTTGATGGAGGACATGGATTCCAGAGTTTTCATGACAGAAGGTGATGACATGACTAAATCAAACATGTCAGCTATATCATTGAAACCTTGTGATACTGTATAACTTCCTTCTAGTGTCTCTTTAAACTTCTCAAATAAACCCAACTGAAAAAAACGATCAAAATTTGGTTGATTGAAATATGGCCACATGATATTTAACGGCACAGCAATATCCATGCATGAAAAATGCATTTATTATAACATGATCAAATGTAAACATCAGTAAACAGTCGAATATGGAGCAATGTCTTTAAAACAGATAAATAGGAAGATTTGTGTAACAGTGAATATTAAACCAATTGGATTGTAAACAACACCAATATTAGTGTAATGTTAATTTAACTCAATTCTAGTTCCATTTATCAATAGATTGAAACACAATCAATTTGATTTTGTTTTGTTTTGAAGAAATTCGGGTACATACTCACCAATCGAACTATTTCAGCAACATCAAGATGTTTCTGTAATAACAGAGATATCTCTGGGATCTTGTCTGTATCAATATTACAAAGGTCATGTGATACATCTGAGATATTAACAGAGTCCGCAAACAGAAGGTAGGATTTTAACTTGTCTGGTGTACAAACAATACTCCTTAAATCTGAATAACCCAAGAGATCCAAAATCTGTAATCAAAAAAACATTCTATAGAGAGAGATATTACACAGAAAAAAAGCAGACACACTGTATTTGTACTTCATAACTGCGCAATTGTCAGTCAGTTGTGTCTTTGTTGTCAAAGAGTTGTCTTTGTATTGTCAGACATATTGTTACTTGCTGTGCTATTATTTCAGGTTCTTTTTTCTGCTACATAATGTTCCGTAAAAGCTCAACTGACCGGCAGCTGATATAAAGCAGCTAATTATACTTACAGATGTAATGTTCAATGTTGAATTAAATAAAGCATCCACAACTTCAGGGTTTGAGAATCCATAATCTTTCAACAAAATTTCTTTAATCTTGTCAGAATTTCGGATCAAATTCTTCAATTGTAATGTCTTTTCTGAGAAAATATAAATATTGTTATGAAATTTGAAACAGGATGGCTAGCGCCTAGAATGTCATACCATCATACTATAGAATTAGTTTCCTAGCAAAGTTTATTTTAGATGAAAATGATTGTATGTTTGAATCTCAATGGCAACATATAATTGTTTCATTATGGTCTATTGAAAAATACAAATAAATACAAATACTAACCCATTTCTGTCAATAAGGAATTGTTGGACATCACTTTATTAAGAGTTTTGATGATCTTGACACCCTTATCCATATAGTACAGTGCTTCCACTGTGTCTTTGGAACCAATATACGGCGCCATATCAGATAAGAAGGCTGAAACTCTAAATAATCCGAAAGAATATAGCCTACATTTGAGTTTTGAGCAAACTATAACAATTATTCAATGTTTGAATAATGTGCTATATTAAACATATTCCATATTGCAAATGGTCGAGATTGATTTTGTATCCCATCAAATCATGTTGAGCATTGTTTGATGACAATGACTAATTTAAGAAATAGATAATTCAGATCTAGAAACAATCTCTTACCTGTAGGTGACACCTTTAGCATCTTCCAATTCCTCTTTAGTTCTACATTCATTTTCTAAATTACAAACAAATGTCTGGAGAAATGGTACTACACCAGCACTTGGCATAGCCCTTTCTTGAAAGTGACCTATAAGAAGAACACAAAAACAAACTAGTTACTTAAACAAAGACAAAGAAATTAATGACATTATGGACTCTCCAAATATTGAAACGATAGTTACAGCTTGAGGAACAGTTCTGAAAACCCAATAAATTGGTTTAATGTAAATGTTAACAGTTCCCAGAAAACTTTATTGTGCATGCCCAATAAGCTGCCTTCACCTTTTCCCGAGGAAGTTTGTCATGCTATTGCTGTTTACATGGGGGTGACTTCAAGGAATAAATGCAACGTCTTCAAGAAATGTTCCACAACCGTTTCAAATTACACTACATTTTAAGATACGTCATAGTCACATTTTTGGCCCAACAACAGAACGCTTTATATCAGCCTGGTTTAAGAGGTGCTAAAATGTAGGCTCCAAATATATAAAACGTTGTCTTTTACTGTGAACTATAGGAAATGAAATGGTCCAGTTCTATATCATACAAGTGGTCAAGGGGCAAAATACAATTCTGTTAACAACATTATGGTAGAACAGTAACTGATTTTTTATTTTTATGTAAAGTACGGTACTTACATGTTTTCTTTTCCACTGGTGGAACACCCTGTCTAATAACAGTGACAATTATTACTATAAATATTGGCCATAATACTTCTAGTGCAAGAATACCCTGAAATCAAAAGATTGTAGAGTCCAGCGTCAGTCCTAATCGGAAGTCAAAAGGAGTGAAATTTCATAACCAATAAAATCGCTGATGGCCATAAATAGGTGTTGATATTGATGGACTTGTAGATGTGTTGTTCTATGGGTCAAGTGCAAATTTGATTGATTTAAATGCACTTGCTTATGTACTGACAACCTACTGACGATGATGTGATAAGGCTGGAAGTAGACAGTAGAGCACTGTTGTTTATATATTTGATTTACTTGAAATGATTTCGCATTGCTGAAAATAATGAGTTTTCTAAATTTACATGAAATACAAACACACAAAAATGTGATTGTGAGGTGGGACAGTAGTGGGACAGTAGTGGGACAGTAGTGAGAGATTTGCAAATAGTAGACACCTTCATTTTTTGTTTTTCACAGAAACAAACCTGCAGATTGTCTAATTGAAACTGTACTTGCTAACCTATAGATATTTAGTTTCTTAAATTGCAATGAGGCGTGAGTGATTCACCTGACACCACACATTTAAATTGTCATCGAATGTAGGCCTAGTTTAGTCATGTTGATTATTGTCGAACACTTGTCTATTTTCTACTTTAGGTTTGTTTAACCGGAAACCGAGTTACGCTCATGATAGCCTCTATCATCCAATCCCATTTAAATATCCTCGCTGGAGAAGTCTGGGTATCAGAGACTATGGTCATGCTAAGCACTGATCTATATAGATCAGTGATACTTAGCTGTAATCGAATTAAAGAGACGCCTACTTTACATTCAGAGTAATTTAAGTGAAATGTTATAAGGCCTAAAAGAGTCTATATATATATATATATTTCAACAATCTTTACAATCTTACACCACGACCAGTTATTTTGATTCACCAAGGTCTTGACATATTATCAAAATAACATCAAACGGGAATACTGACATTGACAAGGTCACTTATATCTAAAAGGACATCTAAACTTATCCGATTCAAACTACCGCTGTAACCATGTAGCCTGTCTATAGTATCCATAAACTGGATGTAAGCGGATTCAGAAAACAATTTCCGCTACTAAGCTACCTGATGGAAGCTATTTGTAGGTAGGCCTTATTTAAACCGATACTGTGATTGTCATTTCGTTTATATCTAAATATAATCGTATGGCGGCTTTCCAGACATTAATAAAAATTTAATTTGTAATTTAATTTGTGCATCGTAAAGAATAGCTGATAATGATGATATTAGGATACATAAAACAGTGGATATATATAGGCTATTAAATATGCCTTATGTTTAGACTAACGTCAAATATCAATTAGCATGACAATAATGATAACTATAAGATCATACTATTTACTTTAATGATAGGTTATAATTTCATGTAGGTCTAGGTCTTACATTTTGGGTACAACACAGGAATTTGATACACTGACGTTATAGTCACGAGGATTGATAATCCGATTACTCGGACGGGTTGTATTTGGTTTAGGGCCTGGTTATATGTGGCGGGCTTTCCGGATAACTCGGATCTGAGTTGTACGGATTTACTCAAATGCATTTATATGGTCTGTAGACCTGGAAGCCCGGCTATCAGGCCAACCCGGTATTCATATAAACACGTTTTTGCGGGTTAGCCCTGAGTCACAGCGCATGCGCTAAGCACACTTTTATTAACCAACATGACTATTAAAACGTGATGTAATACAGATTGAGTAATGTCGGAGTTGCTCCGATACATTTTTGAACCGCTTTTTTGACAAAAGCCAAATTTGACATAACTTTTGTATCTATACAAAACTCAACCACTAATGAGTCACATCAAGACATTATCGAATATGTCCTTGTTCCTCGAACGGTACCACAATACAGTCGAGGGGTAGGCTTTTCCTTTCTTCGTACAGCCCTGTAAAGGACTATCCTACCCCTCTATTGTGGTACCGTATGATATTGCCACAGCACATGTGATAGCTATAATCGCAACTGACACTATTTCTTTCGAAATGTACAAATTTATAGCTAGAAAATTCTCAATATGCCCGGTAAGAACAATAAACAGGTCGAAATTATGTCTTTATTTATTTCGTAATTAGTCAACAGATATATTATATTGAGCCTCCCACTGGTCAATCCGTCCATTTCGCTGCCAGTTATTTCTTTTGTATGATAATCGACCAACACGACTCCGACTAATCTTCATTGCCCAAGTAGCAGAGAATTAAGCATAAGCAGTTCTTGTTGTTGACGGAGAATATGATATGCACTCATAAGTGCACAGAAAATCAGTGTGCACACCATGGTTTAATAAGGCACCATTTTTGTTATGATGTAACCTTCATACCATATAAACAGAATAATTGCCAGCCCGCGTTCATTTAAAGAGAAAAAAAAATCCAACTCGGTTACATATAACCAGGCCCTTAGTCATAAAATGTTATTTAATATAAATTAACGTAAACGACCAAAATGTACGAAACATTTCAAAATCTATTTCTATCATATACACCGCCAATCAATCTGTAGTATTGAATTCGATATTAATCAATCTAACACTATTTGCAGTGATAGTCTGAGATTGAACTTTATTTGATTAACATGCTGTCATCTCAATTCAAACCAACTACATTCTCATATAGTATGTTTTTATAGGTAGAATGACTCGGGATAAATTCGTAGTAATATTTGTTTACACCAAATGTACCATGATAACCCAGTAAGAAAATACCAGATATACTTATACTATCAGTGACCTAATTAGGCATACACAGAACAGATAAAATTTTGAAGACAAAATCGATGTAAAATGTTGCTCATGAGTATTATATATGTACATGTATTAAGTTTACTATATATCACAGGTTTTCCTCGCGTTTGACATTTCATGTCGCAATAAGATCACAAATGGTCGCAGTCAGGTGTGACGGGGCTGTAATCTGAGCAAAGTAAAAAGATTTTTGAATTTTATTTCCATGGTTTTTATAGGAGTATTAGCCTCAAAATAGTACTGTTAATGGCTTTACATTGATAAAAATTTTCAGTCTTTGAGACTTTTTTTGGTTGAAATTTCATGGAGAAAAATGTACATTGTTTCAAAGTAAATTATATACAAAAAAATATATTTTTGTCAACCCAAGACATTCTAAGACTAACAGTACTATTTGAAGGCTGATATTCCAATTCTCTTAAATATATAAGAACAATTAAAAAAACCTTTTTGCTTTGCTTAGACATTAGTCATATGCGTAAATCAGTCATAATAATTTGGACACATGGTCAATTAGTCATAATAATTTGTACACGTGGTAAATTAGTCATTGTAATTTAGACGCATTGAAAATTTCTCAAAGTAATACATGTACATCATAAGCAACATGTAAAGTGTAGTTGTATATAGCCTCGGAGTTTAAATATAGTTATAACTGAATTTTATCCCAATACACTGCAAAAAAAATACCCAAAAAAAAAACAAGATTTAGGTGTGGGATCTCCATTGAAGTGATAGCCATAGCTCTTTATTGGGATCAAATTTGTAGTTGAAATCTGTCTTTTCCAGCCAATAACACTGTTACCAATTTAAATATAAATCCTGATAAAATTACCATGAACATATTAAAGTGACCACGTTACCTTCAATACATTATATACACATATGCTTTGTGACCAAATTACTGCAGAAATTTATCTTGTGACCAAATTACTCAACAAATTTATCTTGTAACCAAATAACTTTAACAAATTTATCTTGTAACCAAATTACTTTAACAAATTTATCTTGTAACCAAAGTACTTTAACAAATTTATCTTGTAACCAAATTACTTTAACAAATTTATCTTGTAACCAAATTACTTTAACCAAATTACTTTAACAAATGAATCTTGTAACCAAATTACTTTAACAAATTTATCTTGTAACCAAATTACTGTAACAAATGTATCTTGTAACCAAATTACTTTAACAAATTTATCTTGTAACTAAATTACTGTAACAAATTTATCTTGTAACCAAATTACTTTAACAAATTTATCTTGTTACCAAATTACTTTAACAAATTTATCTTGTAACTAAATTACTTTAACAAATGTATCTTGTAACCAAATTACTGTAACAAATTTATCTTGTAACTAAATAACTTTAACAAATTTATCTTGTAACCAAATTACTTTAACAAATGCATCTTGTGACCAAATTACTGTAACAAATTTATCTTGTAACCAAATTACTTTAACAAATTTATCTTGTAACTAAATTACTGTAACAAATTTATCTTGTAACCAAATTACTTTAACAAATTCATCTTGTGACCAAATTACTGTAACAAATGTATCTTGTAACCAAATTACTGTAACAAATGTATCTTGTAACCAAATTACTGTAACAAATTTATCTTGTTACCAAATTACTGTAACAAATGTATCTTGGGACCAAATTACTGTGACCTATTATTATGTTACCAGAATGAAAGTCCAAAATGAAATGAATATATGGAATTGAAATCAGAAGATTTATCAAAACACACTGTAATCCTACATGATAAGGAGACATAATATGTACAGAACATTATACGAGTGCCAAAGAAAATACAGAAACACAAATCCGAATCTATAAAAACAAATCACAAATCTATAAACTTACCGGCTGTCGTTTTCGAATTAAATAATTCTTCTTAAAGAGAAGTTTGAGCTGTTGAAGAACTCCCATCTACAATCAGTTTATTTCCACACCTCATTAATCTGAAAAGAAATTACAAATCATTAAATATTAATGATGAGGAATTTTCCTTCTTCACATCAATATACTGAAAGTATATAAATGAAGATGTCTATTCTCAAGAATGGCGCCATATTAAAATGAGCCCGATTCCACCAAATTTTACAAAAGATACACACTTATGAACGTAACCAGACAATCCCGGATATAACACAAAAATTGAACAATTTCAGGAGATATATTGGCACTGACATAACAAAAGATCCTGTAAATGATCAAAATCGTGAATCGTAACATTTTGAGATGTATCGTCAGTACCATCAATTCAAACCTGATTTAAAACCAGAATCAATCATGCCACGATCAGGCTGTATGAGGATAGACATAAAGACACAAGTTGGAGGTGATAGCTTCGGCCGTCGAATTATCACTATTCACAATGCTGTCTTAGTAATTATCTACACCATTTCTTTTTAGACAATATTGAGTCAAGTCGAATTCTTGTCGCAATGCTTGTAAATTTACTGTCTTGCACATTACCACCTTAATGGTAGTCATAGTAATAGTTTGTGACAAACTGAAAAGACCACAGGTTGAGAATTCAAAATCTATATTTATATGTAACTATTAACTAAAATTAACTATTTTTGATTGTGTCTCTTTCGTCTTCAATTTTCAAACATTCATCGCAATTTTTATTATTATATTTGCTTCATTTTGTTAGTGCAGATTCTTTGCAAATTTTCACAATGGACAAGGACCAAACAAGCTTCTGTCTTTTACATTAGTGGTTGTTGAAGAAATAGATTTTATTTATGGGATAAAAGATACATCTGCAGATGTCTTTACATCGTTAGGTTCAACAACCCTCCACCTTTAAAAAAACACAATCGGTCAAGAACTCTATATACTGAACGTTGCTATTTTAAATAAAAATATCGTTCGTTTTCACGAACAAAGGCAATAACTCATATTAAATATTTTTCGATTTTTTTTTAATTTTCGATAAGATATATTATAAACAAAAGAACAAACCACGACTAAAATTATAAGCTTGCATTGTATAATGTAGAGTAGGTAGGCCTACGTTAGCTTAATATATGAACAGAGATTGACGGCCCAAACGATAATTCAATAGTATTAGTTAATTAGTAAGCATACCAAGATATAGTTCAAGCCTCCATACATAGACGATGACTGCAAAATCAGTTATATATCTATCTTCATGACTATTTTAACATAATAAACTAAGTGGGTCAAGATTGGTTCAATTATATTTATTCATAATGTCATATGCTCAATAGGCCTAATATCAAATTTCTGTCACACTTTTTTTTAAAGTTATCTTGAAAGGAGGGTAGACTGGAAAAGAGTTTTACGTTGTATTGTTCTGCAACTTATCTGATAAGCATCATATGCGCAACGATGAAAATAATAACAAGGTATAAAGGAAATGTCGAAATATACCTCTTTATCAGACTTGTATAGGAAAAGGTATTATATTTTAGAATAGTTTATTTAAATTATTAAGGAACTGATTACTCAATGCTAAAAAGTAATCTTATGCGAAATTTAACAGTACTCTTTTAACATTTAATAATATTAAAATAACATCTTCTACAGGTGATTTAAAATTAATTTAACAATACATATGTAAAAGGAAAACTATTTATTTAAATTAACAACTTGTAAGGAGAAATTGCACACAAGAGTCTAAGATAAGAATACTTACAACTTATAACTAACAAATAATCAAAGTTAACTAAATAATTATAATACATACATTCAAGGTGGAAGTAAACACAGCTATATATATATATATATATATATATAAATTATAGTATTAAGGTCATGACGCAGATAATGTATTAGTCCGGGTAATATAGAAAAGACTATCCCTATTCACTTATTTTTTTATATAGATGAAGGAAATTGTGCAATACAGATGTGAACTGGATTAACTTTAACTTCATTTCGAATCATCTTATTTCCATGATTAAATTAAAATTATCTAAATCCTCTTTTAAAATAATCTTGCAAGCTAAACGAGGACATGATTTGCCACGGCTGAAAATGTCGAGGTCTAGTTCATCACATTAATGCCATGGTCGGACATGGAAAAAGCGTCCAGTTGTTCGGATGAGAAATTAAACCGAAGCTCCTTGCTCCCTCGGCATTAAGAAATCGAAAGTGAGCAGGCTGGTGACACTGTTCTGGATAAATTTACATCATTGTACACTGTATGGCATTGTCTGTCTTCATTAGACCAATCAGAATATCAGAAATGTGGAACGTAAAACCACATTCATTTGTTTTTGTTATTGTTGTAAAAAGCTTGATCACAGGCCCTTGAAGATCTGTCAATGTATGTTCTGTGGATATATACGTTGACACTTTTTTCTCCACATTGCCCATATTTCATTAATATTTACAGAATTTCAAGGGCCTGTAGCTAGATTTATCAAGACAAACAAATTCAGATCCATAGCGCATCAAAGGAGTAAAAATATTCAGAAAACAATACAAATCGGACAAAATTACCAAACGGTCTACGATGAAAATTCCTCTAGCGTTCTGCAAGATTCAGCCTTACGCAAACGGCCGATGATTGACGAATGGATAATTCCGACGTAAACAAAGCTTGAAAATGCTATTTTTATATCCGTTCATGGTAAAAAAAATACTGCCACTCTTGCAATTTACTTTCAACGGAAAGTAAGGTTGTGTAAAAATGTTATTGTCAACATGGAGGAAAACGGCAGACTGGAGATTTTTGTCTCCTCAAGTGCCCGGTAAAACTCTTGGACAAGATTCTAGTCGGCGACAAAAATCGGCGACCAAGACCGTTCGAGTGGCGGTTCCTTTAACAAATGCTCAATTTCAAGTTAATTTGAAGGTAATTAACGTGTAATCCTCCACATTAAATGGGGTCTAATATCATAGAGCTCAATTTTTATTTGCTTATGTACTTATTTCTACAGTGTTGACTATGAATAGAAAAAGCATGACTGACTAAACCAACTCTTTTCTTTTATACATTTGTATAGTTTACAATCGTACTCGCATACGGCCGTCAGTTGAAATGTCATGTTGACATTTGCACGAATTGTGTCCTCGCAATGTCGCGAGAAAAGTCGAGTTATTTCGGTGCATCGCAGCGATACGCAGCATTTGCGGCCTGTCCGTTATACACAATGCCCTGTATACGCAATGTACAACTAAAATGTGGTTGCATTGACACTCCATGGCACTAATTGTCTACGCATAAAGGTTAAGTATTGTTTGCGCATAGTTCACACTTTGTTAGTCAATTCTTCGCTGTGTTCATGAATGGGTTACGCGAATGGCACAAACTTGTCCTAAAAACTTAGACAAATGTTTGAACATTTCGGCATTTTCTCTACGACATGGCAATGCACCTCGAACCTCGAAAACTTTCCTAATAAAATTCATAATAAAACTCACCATAAACATTCAATGCGTGAAGTAAGTGTAGACATTGAGTACTTAAGCTCACGGACATATTTGGTACAAGTTTGGAATGAATGACATGGGATCGTCATATTGTAACGATGGGTGTTTTTGTTATAAGAAGTTTACACGACCTATTCTATTCAACTGCCCCTATTTATTTACACAACTTCGGACTAAGTACAGAAATAAATAACAAATCGTTTCATGATCTGAATAATATAAACGTGGTCTCTCAAATTATGTGACCATTCGTAAAATGTTCACTACCAGACACTTTTTGAATGAAATACTAACTTGGAGAGTCGGTAAATTTAAACATGAAAATGAGGACCTTCTTTATTGCCCTGGCTCGTGCCAATCCGCCTGCTCAAATCAGTCGATCGGTTTACACGCGCAATTAAAGTCCTATTTCTCATGCGATTTTGATGAAATTTTGTCCGGAAACGATCTTGGCAGAATTGAAATTTGACGATGTCTTCAGAAACGGGTTTTGAGTTATCTCCCGTATCTTATTCAAAATCAGACTCTATACCAATTGGAAGAAACTTGATATATAATTTTTGGATTGATGAGCTTGAAATTGGCGATGCCTCGATGAACGGTTTTCCCGAGACAATACACATCAAAATCAACTAACAAGCATGATAGAAACTAGAGTGTTTTCGATTTGGATAGAACTTGGGTTAAATGTACGATTTGCTAAGATCTAGTTCAGTGGTTCCCAACCTATTTCAGCCTTCACCTTGGAGCAATCACGCGGACCTTTCACATCCCCATTTCACATCCACAGGGAGACCAGGGATCTAGTTGAACCAGATTCATAAATGGTAGGCTATACATGTGCGATTTGATGAGTTCTTGGACAATTTAGAAATAAGACGTTTATATATTACAGTGTCCTTGACGTTGTCGAAATGCATCAGAAATCAGCAGATGTAAGCTCTATAAAAGCTTGAGATCTTTGGTCATTTTCACATTATAACTACTTAAAATGATGAACGAATTCTGTTCATCTGACTTTGTATATCACTAAAATCAATCTTGAAATTAAATCATAAATACTAACCAATATAAGGTTACAGTAGGTTCATTTCTATAATATTGGATAACTCAGGGTGGTGATTGTTATTCTTGAGTAAAATTCTTAGTTTGAAGTATTTTGATAGGTATTATGTGATTTGCGTACATTTCTGGTACCTCTGAAAACTATTTACATATATTCAATACTAAAATCAACCCTCCCCCCCCCCCCCCCCCAAAAATAAAAAAGGCACACGTCCCTTTAATTGATGTTTCTTATGAATTATCATCATGTATTTTGAATCATATCATTATGTTATGGTATATAATTAAGAGTTTTAACCAATCATAAAATGTCCATATATGTACAGTCTGGATAAACACAAATAAATGCTTTTTGATCTTTCTTGATCGGTCACTCATATGAATTCTGTGGGTAATTCTTTTCTAATGTAACAATTATGCATTAATTATGGACATGTGAGACAAACTGGTAT